TGAATTTCTTTGCAGGATGTCAGAATAGCCTTTCAGAGCTGCTGTTTGGATGTAAACAGCCTCCCAGCCTCGTAGATCTTCTTCTTGGGGATTCTCCAAAGGTTCTCAGCAGGGTTCAGGTCAGAGAACAGCTAGCAACACAAGTGAATCAACAGTCATACTGCACATGGATTCATACACTGTCGTACATGGTTGGATAAACTGATAAGTGTTTTGTGAACCACTGATGACCTGTGTAGCATTCTGAGCACTCGTCTATAAACCATCCATCATCATCTCTACACCTTAATCCTCACCAGGGTCATGGGGGGCTGGAGTCTATCCCAGCTGACTCAGGGTGAAGGCAGGTTCACCTGGACAGGTAACCAGTCTGTTGTCTACAAACCAGTCAGTGTCAAACACAGGGAGATGCAGGTGATGACTGGTTTGTCAGGTAAAGTTATGTTATAAACACATATCTTGTGTGAAGCTTTGGGATTATATGACATACAAACCTGCAGTAATTTGCAATAACTGGGGCAGTCTTCTGTGATCCTAAGTGTGAATCTGCAGCGTCTGTCAAATGACCAAACACAACGATCAGGTGATAATGTTAGTCCTGCATCTCTGTACTTTGTTTTTGTTTTTTCATTTTCTTTGTTCTGCCTCTTTCCTGCTTGAGAATTCCAGAAGCTGCTTTGGCAATTAAAAAATGACAGATTCAGAGGATTCCCAGAAAGATGGAGCTCAAATCCACCAGAAGAGCAAAATCTCTGAGGATGATTAAATGGATGGCAGCGTGTGATGAGGAACGTTCTGCTCTCTGTCAGCCGGCTCCACAGTTATCATGTGGCAGCACATTCATATGATATCTGGAAATAATGTCAGTAAAGTCACGTAAAACACAGAGTTTGCTTCTCTTTAATTTCTAAATCACGTGAGTTCCCCACCTACCACTAGTCCTGTGTGAATATTGTTCAGGCTTCGGGGTTTGAAACAAACACATCTTCTAGTTTTAGTTTAAAAACCATTTAAATGTTTTATTGGTGACGAGGTTAAATGTAATGCAACAGTAGGTCACGTAAAGTCAGCAAACCGACTCCAGAGTGTCAGTTACAGAGAGATATCTCTCCAAAGCTTGCTGGGATGATAGCATGAGTCACCACAAGCACATGAGCAGCAGCCAGAACAAGTTCTCCTGCAGCAGAAAAACCCCTGAATGCACCTAAAAGTGTGTTTCATTGTTAATAAATGCATGTAGGGAGATGATTTTGTTGTTTCTCTATCAAAAGACCTGTCTTTAAAAAATCAAAACCAAGAAGTTTAAAAACAAAAAATGGCCGCTGAGGAGCATTTTGAGCCTTCGCCTGGCCGTGGGACTTCCTCATAGGCTGTGATGTTACGCTGTATTTCCTATTAGTCCCACCCAGCCTGAAAATCTGAGGAACTTCACAAAAATAACTTTTCTTTGGCAGGAAACGCACAAAACAACCTGAGTGAAACAAAAAAAGCTCCTCCACCTCCAACCCTGATATATTAGTGACAGAAGTGAAAAGACCTTTACTTTGTTTTTGGAAAACCTTAACATGCTAGCTTTGGTTTTAAGTGGTCCCAGCTGCTCCTTTCTTTTGACTCTAGGCCTCTCAGTGGGCCTGCTGCAGTAACAAAGGTGCCGCGCTGTCCCGGGGTCCTAAAACTTTATCATACACAGAACCCAGGATCAACGTGCCAGCATAGGCCGCTAAGCCCCTGTTTTAATAACCTCAAATATGCAGCAATTCATATGGATGTGGTTTACCCTATTTCTGATGGAAAACTACACCCTGACTCAGGAACCAAAACACTGATTCCATCAGCGCCGGCCGGGAGGCTCTGCCAAGGAAAGTGCACTGACTTTGAGTTTTGTTTCTGGTCACCAGTGAGCTGCTGCTGCTGCCGTTCTTGAAAAGGGTCTTTCAGAGGGGATTTGAGCAGCCATTTTCACATCAGGTCAAAATGTGCAACGCTGTCAGTTTGAGTTAGTTTACTGACGGTTTGTGCCTCGTCAGCAAGCTCGACGGTGTTTTTTCGAACACAGGTGAGATCCTCGAGGCCAAAACTCACACAAACTTTCATCCATGACGCTAAAACACAAACGCTTTGCCAAAAACATTCCCTCTCATCTCTTCTCCTCTCTGTCATCTGTTCTTCCCCTCTCCCTCCCTCTGGACTTTCTCCTGCTCACAACCTCCCTGAAATGACAGAAACATCCTCTGCAGGCTGAAGAAAACATCACTTTCCTCTCCTTCTTTAATTGGTTTTCGCTTCTGTTCCAGCCAGGTTGTAACTTTTAAATGCGATTTTTTTATTTTTTTTTCCTCCCGTGTTTGCTTCTGTTTCCAAAAGCAGATGTTGTAAGAAGCGTCGGAGCGCTCGTACGCGCAGCGTTCGGTAGCTCGGAGGGTGGAACTCTTTGGATTATCCTCTAAGCCCTCAAACAAAGCTGATAGCTGTGTAAACAAACTCGCCTTTTTTCACACTTGTTCCGTCTATTTGCTTTACTTTTTGGCCATGATACTGAAAATAAACAGCTCCGGGACCGCGTTGAGCTCTGCGTAGGATTTGTGATTTATCTGTCCATAAACTTTTGGCCCTCCTCAAAAATAGTAAACAAGGAACAATTTTAGTCTGGTAGCCGGCCAAGGCAAATGGTTATATTATGATAACAGGCCTATTTCCTGTAGTTAAGATTTTTGTTTAACATCAGGCCCTATTCTCAGCCTGCAACTGGCAGCGAGCGGTGGCCCAGTTTCGACACTCTTAACCTCTGCCTCAGCCATCCGACCAGATGTGGGTTCCCTTAAGCAAATTATTAGCAGTTCCTCGTACACACAGGTTCCCTACTAAGTGTTTCCAGCTCAGATTTGGCAGGACACCGCGGAGACATTCCAACGCAGCAACATCATATTTTCCCTTCAGCATAGCCATAGCAACTAATTATTTATCGTGAAAAAGAAGAAAAAAAAATCCATTTTCTACATCCAACTAATATGTTATGGTTGCTCATTATTTTCTGGACGGGGGATAAAGAAAAAGAAAGTGTTTTGTTTTTTCACGTTGAAGCGCTTTGAGAAGACGAATGTGTGTCTGAATGTGTGGAAGGAGACGAGAGGAGAGCGCGCTCTGTCATTAGTCACGCTTGTGTTTGCCTTTTGTGAAATAAAATGCCACACAAGAAACATTTTGATTACAACCCTCAGCGATCCCGTTCTGGTGCGCTCCAGCCATGAGCCAGTTATCTGAACACCGCGGAGGTATTTGGTCCATGTTGTTCCAGTTCAGGCTCCTCGTAAGTCGGTGTAATTATGTAATCTGTGTTCATCTCGTTGAACTTCAGTTAGTATTAGAGGATGTTTGATTGTGTGAGTTTATGATGAGCTGGAGTCACTTGTGGCTTCGTTGTGCCACCCAGTCACTGTGTACATAGTGTTCAGCCACCAACAACATTTTCAGTTTGTGAATTAGGATTCAGAAGGATGCTGGAGTGCTCCTATGTAGTAACACACAGGTCTTTAATGCTAATTAGCCACCTGGGCGTTCATATTACTGCTAACTTAGTCTGGATAAACTTACTTCACCTACCAGTTGACTCAATGAATTTAAGTTGGTGAATAGTGAATATCTTGTATTTTCACTGGCTGACGCTGACTTTATTCACCGTACAAGGCTAACTACATGAAAGTATGGCTGCTTCGGTACAGTGCTGCAATGTAACTAAGTAAAAATACTCAAGTAGTGTCGTGAAGGACAAACTCGAGGCACTTGGACTTGAGTTTTTCCATTTTGTGCAGCTTTATACTTCTGCTCGGCTGCATCTCAGAGGGAAACTTTTTACTCCGCTGATAATTTTAGTTACTTTTCCGATTTTTCGCACCTTTTCTTTACCACATGTCTCCAAATTTAGAGATTATAAGTTGGAATTTTTCTCCTTCTTCCTTGTCCCATCTCATATGTGATTGGTTGGCTCAAGAGGAGCAACGGTGATGCAATAACACAAATGGCAAAGACATGCCGATCCAAAACGGGTGTAAAATGGCAAAAAATGCATTTCCCTCAAGACATAATTGATAATGCAATTTAGAATGTAATGATTTTAAGATATCATGCTTTGGTTAAGTTTAGGAAACAAAATGATTTGGTTGGTTCTGGTTAAAATAAAACCATTTCACAAAATACTTGAAGCCTTCGAGGGCAATCACCTGTGAAAGCATCTACAGTCGTCCTCTAATGTCTTCATCCCCTTCTATTAAAGAAAAGGCAAAACTCACAACAGTCACTCAAATAACTAGAAACTGAAAAAAATAATAAAAAATAAAAATTTGCTAAATTATAATTTAGTAAAATAAGTTGTTGCTTTTGAATTGTGGTTGAAAAGAATAATTTAAAAAAAAAAGTGGACAAATCAGAGCCCTTTGCTGATGAGCAGTGGACCAGAATACCTGTCAAGGTGCAGAAGTCTGACTGAGAGTCACATGTCTTTTTTTTTTTTTTTTCTTTTACATATTTCTGTTGAACCACAATTCAAAAACAATGTCATGATTTTCATTAATTTTTTATTTATTATTACTTTTGTCAATTTCAACTTATTTCTGTGAATTTTTCCTTCTTTAATGGGAGGGTGTGAATAAATCTGAGGATGATTGTACGTAGCTGAGTTACAACAACAACCTCACATCATTGATCAGGTCCTGGAACACAGTGATGCCTTAAAATAATCATATAATCAGTTTGTTCTGATGTGTTTTCTGCTCAGGCGTCACTTTGTTTGTTTCTTATGAACCCCTATCAGACTCCATGAATACTGCTCAGGTTTGCATCTGAGCTACATAACAATCAAGTGTTCTCATGATGAGAGTAAAACCAGCATTAATCAGGTCAGTAGAAACAAGCTGCCATCTCTGTCTCTCCACAGGCGTCCAGTACGTCTGCTGACTGGGCTCTGTACCTGACCGGTGACCTTCTGCAGCACATAAACCACCTCCGTCCAATCCGTCCACCAGCTCTTTAGAATGTGAGCGCTGGCAGCGAGGGCAGCCGACGAATGCACAGCTAAGGAAATATTTACAGTAAGGGAACGCTCGCACACGGTGGTTGTGTCTCTCTCGGCTGAATTGATGCTGGTGGAAGGTGGTCGCTCTCCAGAGTGAACATAAACAGTCGGCTGGAGCGGGAGCTCGGCTGGTGCGAACGCCAAACTCCCCGACGCGTAAACACACATCGCTCAGCTTTGTGAGTTAAGTGGTCGTGTAATAGTCATGGCAACCGAACACGTCAGCACGCCGAAAGTGGTGTTTTAAGGTTGGGATGTGCTTCAGGACGCCGGTTAGCAGCTCTACCGTCTGACTGTGAAACACCAGGAAATAGGCTGCTTTAATTCTGAGCTGATAACTTTCAGATGTTCTTGGATTACTTCACTTCCATCAATCACTGCCGAGGTTGCAACCGATAATACAACGTTAAACTGTTTTTCATTCTGGATATAATTGACTGTTATTGTTTAGCTGTGTTATTGTAGGAATAGAGCTGCTGCAGAGACTTTCTCTCAGAGCACGAGAGAGGTGAAGACTTTCTCAGAAGATTTTCAGATTAATTAAACTAAAAACATGTTTCACTGCCAAATAATTAGTCAAATCTGCTCATTTTCAGCTAATAATGGGAATGAAGGCCTCGTGCTTGTTGGGTACTGAGAGAAGTGTGTGAAGCGCCAAGTGCTGAAAGAGAAATCATACGCTCAGTCAGACTTTCACCTCTGTTCTCAGTAATTAGGTTTGTAAGGCAGTGATTTGTTTTGTAAACTACGTCGGGATAGTGAACGTAATCACCGAGTTACACTGAAGGAGTGCTGCGCTTTTACGGCTGCTTTGTTGGAAAAGTCAGCTCCTGTCTGTTGGATCAAGGCCAGCTGCCGTGCTAATTGTAATTATGTTTTCCAGAAAATCAAACGACTGATTTTGTTTTTTAATGCACAAATTAAAAATTGGCAATAGAAATGAATTAATTCTGGACTTTTCCACTGTTAGATCAAAACCACAGTATTTTCCATAAGCGCTGTGTGGGACTAAAGATGAAAAAAGTTCTATCATGACTCACTACAAGCAGGAACTGTGTTGTGTTCTAGTAAAATCAATGCAGTATCAGCATATATGTAATACTGTTGAGTTTCTTCAGATACATTTATAAGCAGTTTTTCCTCATCGATTGGAAAAAAACCCCAAAACAATACATTTGGACAAACTGGTTGAATATTTGCAAATTACTAAGACATTGGATGACGTTTTATCCACTTACTATGATAGAGATTTTCTGATCTAAATGAATTAGGATGGATTTTATTTTGGTAAAGTTCTTACACAGCTGACTTCAGGTCCTCAACCTGAGGTTTTATAATGTACATATTTGGTTTCACTGCCAAAAGCTCAGGTGTTGAGTTGTTACTTGATTTAGAATAATAATCAATTCTTATCCTGGATTTGCAACCCAGTCTTCCAAAAAGATTACATTCCTGTACAAATAAACTGCATTTGTGTTTGAAAGTAAATGCATTTTTCTGTCCCCCAAAAGAGGTAAGACTGACTGTGGTGTAGTCGGGAAGGCTTTTAGTTTGAAAGAGACAGGAAGTTTGCATCAGGAGGCTGGATGGTGACAGAAACAGAACCTTCACCCAGAAGACGAGGATTTGAATCCTCAGTGGGGCCGTTATCCATAGACTTAAGTTTAATTTTCACTCGTTGTTTACTTTTGGTTTTGCTCACTTGTTGAATGGGTTTAGGTCAAAGTCATGCTTTGTGTCTTTACATTTAAAGCTTGGCTAAGTTTAGGAAACAACATTTCTTGGTTAATTTTCCTGCTCTGGGTTAAAATACTGCTCTTTCACAAAACATTTAAAGCTTATTCGGGTTATGAGTCCTCTCTGAAAGTGAAGCAGTAGTTTGAACTCCAAACACGAGTGGAACATTATTAGCATGATGTGCAGGACTGCTCGTGTGTCGTCTGAACAACTTCTCAACTGTTTTGGTCCACGGCACAAAAACACATCATCTTCACCATAAAGGCTGTAAAAGTGTCTGTTTTTCTGGCCTGTTCTGCACCACTTCCTTGCATCTGTGTCACGTGACTGGTGAATTTCATGTCACGTGATCTGTTAGTTTCCTCCACTTATGCATGGAGACGCTGATGCCACAGACAGGAAGATTCCCAAAGCTCAAACTGGGGCCTCCGCTCTTCTAATTGTGCTCTTAGCGACGACTTCCTGTGGGGACTCCGTGAGGGATGTTTGGTCTTGACTCTTCAGATGACCCCAAACCAGAAACCTCGGCGCTCATTCTTTTGGCTCGTGAAATATGTCTTGGACTCAAACCACTCCCCAGCGGATCATTAATACCGCGCTGTGTCTGTGCTGCCAGCGTTTGCTTTCAGACGTCGTCTTTTACAGGAAAACAGGCCGGGGTTAATGTAATCACAGCGCAGGAGGGTTTGTTCAGCTTGCTCTGCTTAAACCAGACCAAATGTTGGCCCTCGTTTCATGTTGTTGTTTGAATTATCCAATCCAGCTTTTGTTTGCATAGAGGTGTATCAAGCCCGAGAAATTGTCTGTTTTGTACCGTTTTCCTGGTTCTCTGAGTTTTCTGAAGTTTTGCAGGAAGACTCCCCGCGCAGTCAATCATCCGGCTCCTGCTCGATGCCCTCGTTTGCTCTGAGAACACAGAGGAGCCCCCAAAGCTCAGAGATAGATTTTCTTAGTCAGGTTGTATTTACATTTGAAATTGTTCAGAGCGCCGCAGCTCGTCTCGGCGGCTGCCAGGAGTGTACACTGTTTAATCTAGAGACACCAGATAAATCAGACAGTCTGGACAACCACGCTGAGCAGGATCAGAACCGCATCTATCAAACGGACAGCTCAGGACGAGGCAATAAAAGTTTGTTTATGCTCCTGTTAAAGCAAAAGTCACATCAGTGTTATAGGAAAAAAGTTCAGTGATTGAATGAGAGTAAGAGGGAGAGACGAGACAATCCTCTCAACAGGCTTCAGCTGGAGGTTTGATAAAAACGTCTGTTTGAATGATCAGAAGTAAGAGAATGAAGGTATCAGTGATATGAGTGAGGCGACACGTATTTTACTGCTTCACCAATCTCTAGATATGCAGATAGTTTTGTTTTTATTCGTCCTGCTTGTTGGAAATCTGTCTTGATGATTTTTGCTGCTGCCTCGAAACAGTGAACGTGAATTAAATGCAAAAAAACGTCACAATATTGAGCAAATTCTTCAAAACGAGGACCTCGCTTTGATCCACGGACGAGGCTGTGAGCAGTTTTCAGGGCTTCTATCTGAAGTACCGCATGTAGTTTGATTCATTTAGTCCAGAGGAAAGGAAAAAATAACACCTCCTTTGGTTCAGCTCATGTTCACGATGACTTCTAATAAACAGAACGTCTAAAGCCCAGAACCCACCGGTGGCTTTGAAAGGCGAGTTATCTTTCAAGAAATGGCCAAAATGAAACCGTTTGTCAGAACCAGGACCCATACAAACAGGAAGACTTGTTGGATTTTCAACTTTCTGGAGGTTCTGAAACTAATAACCTGTGACTCATAAGAAAACTGAACCAATCTGAGATTAGAATCACAATATTTAATCAAAATCACGTTATCCTTCATGTCTTGTTTTTTTTTTTTTACTGTTTGTTCTATAAAAACTAAAACATTCTGTGCTTCTCAGTGCACCCAGGGAGCCTTTAGTGACGGAGCTGCAACCAACAGTCATGTAGAGAAAATTAATTGACTTTTCAGCTGAACTGCGTTTATACAGAGAAGGTAGATAAACACAGAAACAAATATATATGTAATCAAATATGTAAAGTATGTAGAGTCACATTTGTTAACAGTACAGTCATGACTCGATAATCGACCCTTAACAATCCTAAACCTGCTATCCGACAGGTTTTTAGGAAAAACCAACAGAACCCATAAAAACAGCCTTAACATAGTGACAGCCTTGGATTGTGACTCCGACATGACATTTAATGTCACCAATCAGGATGACGGCGTATTATCTGACTGAACAATCCCACAGATTGGCTACGTTCACACTGCAGGACTTGATGCTCAATGAGGATTTCTTTGTGACTTCCTTCACGTTTCCACTTCAATGCGACTTGTATGTGATCTGCTGTGTGAACTTCATACGAGCCAAAAGTGTCCCGCATGCGCAGAAGAGGACACGACGACGTCACACGCAGCGAGCGTGCTCAGTGTTTATGGAAGTAAACATGGATGGTAACGGTGGAGCGTATCTGCCACTCCCCCGCCGCCACCGATGGAGGAAACAGAAGTGTGAGCGCTAACTAAACTAGCATCAGCAGCCAAGTACTGCCTGTGTGTTCTGGACACTTCCACCCCGTCAGAGCGCTGCCCCGGGGTGGAAGTGTCCCCCGACCGCACAGAACATTCTGATGTTCATCATTAATTGGGCCTGAACATCCAGAGAGCAGAAAGTTCTACTGGGACCAGCCCTACTAGTTATTATAACAACTATGAACAATAATGAACAACTAATGAGCCTTCCAGCATCAAGCCCTCCTCGTATCTGGACCTCCGTCTGGACAATCCGACAGCCTTGATATCCGACATAGAAGAAGGTTTTACATTTAGTGTCGGGTTATCGAGTCACGACTGTGTTGGTAATATCTCTGGTATATGTATGCGTTTTTTTTTTTTCCATTTTTGAGTACAAATAAATAATCGAATTAATGTAACTTTAATTTTTTGGTTTTTATATGTAATTCATGGCAATTTATTGTGTCATAAAATACACACGACATCTTTAGTCCTCTTTACTTGTAGCCATGGCTGAACTGTTTCTGTAGCAGTGCAGGAAAAAAATGTAAACAGGAGCAAAAACAAAAAGCCAAGAAACTGCCTTGGGTTCAAAAGGTTCACCAAGAGCTTAAATAAAAAACTCACTGGTGTGAAGTCACATTAAGTCATTAACTTCTCTGTAGTCACAAAATACTAGAGTTTTAATGAAGTGTTAAAACATGCAGGGAAGTCATGATGCTTCCCAGAACTCTG